CTCAAAAAACTTTAAAAATTATTGATCCAGTTTTTGTTGTCTAATTCTCTGAGGAAAACAGGTGGTGATCTTTCTAAATTAATCTTACTTGGAGAGACAGATTTTTCCACATCCTTAGGAACAGTTTCTTCAGGTTTTTCAGTTTTTACAGTTTCTCTCTCAACTTCAATCTCTTTTTAAATTCCAGCATTTAATTCATTTCCACTTCTGAGTTTAACAGCTTTAAGTTGCTCTTGTTTTTTGTTTTCAGTATTACTCGGAAGTGTCCCTGATGGCCAATTGCTAAGTGCATTAACAATTTATCTCAGTTAATTCTCAATATTTCTAATTGCAGCACTCCGATTTTGTAATTGATTCTTCATCTGTAACATCACTTCTTTTATAGACAACTTCTTTTCTTTAAATTGTTGGTTATTAAAGTCAGGATGATAAGTTCTTTAGTTAATATTTCTCTGGTTGTTTCAATTTCCCAATTGCTTCGCTTGATTTTTCTCCCATTCTGATTTCCATCACGAAATTATTATTCCAGTTAAATTTTGGGTGGTTTTTTTAACCTGAGTTGTAATAGTTAGAATATGGGTTATTGGGTCTATTATTAGTTGCATTTAAATACTCTAATGATGATTGAGAATTAACCATTTGTCCCAATGAATTTTCTTTAATCACATGAGGTGTTTGAGAAAATTTCATACTAAATTGGTCTATTTTCCTTGATATCGCAACAACTTGAGATGCCAGAATAGAAGTAGCATCATTATCGTGAATACTTGTTACTTTCTTAGAATTTACATTTTCAGAAGGTCATTGAAAATTATTAGTGGACATCTCTTCAATTAATGCATAAGGTTTATCTAATAGTTTTGACATTAATGAAGCTCCAGCCGCAACATCTGTAATAGATCTAAGAGATCCTATTAACCCATTATAAAATATTTGAATAACTAATCAGTCTGGTAAGTCATGATGTGGACATTTTTTTAGGAGTTCTTTAAATCATTCTCAAGCTTCATATATTTACTCACCTTCATACTGAGTAAATGAAGTAATGTCATTTCTAAGCTTAGCAGTTTTTGAAGGTGGAAAATACTTAGCTAAGAATTTATTTGTTAAACCTTCCCAAGTTCTAATAGATCAAGGTGTTAAAGAGTTTAATCACATCTTAACTTTATCCCTTAAGGAAAAAGGAAAATGTCTGAGCCTAACAACATCGTTTGATACACTATCGTACTTAAATGTAGCATATAGTTCTAGAAAACTTATACGATATAAATTTGGATCCTCAGATGGTGTTTTCTCAAACATATTATTTTGTACCATTTGGATAATAGTTGGTTTAAGTTCGAATGAGTTAGCCGTTACAACAAGGATTTGATGTTTAAATGAATTTCATCTGCTATAAGGTTTTCATTGTCCTTTAAAGGACTTTGTACACAATGTTGTTCATTTTCAGCAGTTTGAATATCAATGTTATTATGTGATGTGTTAGCCATTTCTTGCAAATTGTGAAGTTTTTTTTGTTTTATGATTTTTCCATTCGTTCTTTCTAACTCAGAGTCATAAGGTACTAACCTTTCAGATCCTGAACTATGCATATAAAATGTGAAAGTTCAGAAAATAAAATAAAACCATCAAAATAACAAAATCTTCTAAAAATTTTTTTAGTTTTTTAAATTTTTTTTGGTTTTGAAAATATTTTTGAAATATTTTTAACAACACTATAATTTTTCTAAAATAATTCCACTGTTTAAATAAATTTTTAATGTTTTAAAAAAATTTTGTCGCTTCCCTGACAACGGCGCTAAAAAGTTAACCTGACCCGCAATTATGTAGATTTTTATATTCCAAAAGATGACAAAAAAATTTTTCAATTTATATTTAGCGGCGAGTGTAAACAAATCGATATGTTATAAAATTTAAATTTTTTTATTAATAGTTTACACACTATGAGTATTACCCAAGTATATGTATCGTTTCAAGTAATATAAAGTTTTCTATAAAAATTTCAGTATCGATCCCACAGGAAAGCGGTAATCTTTGTATAAACTTTTAGTAAAACTTTTACTTAATACTGCAGAAATGAATCTAGAAAATATAATAGCAAGTTTAGGTGTAAAGTAAAGCTACTAAATTCCTACAAGTTCTGTTTAAAATTAAATGTAAACGTAGAAATTCTAAACTATGCTAAAGGTAAAAGAGAGTTCTAATCATGAAAAGAATCTTCCCTTGCAATGAGTTCATAATTTGTATGGGAATCAAAATGTTTAAATGTTTAAATTGTGACAAATATGAGCATACATCTTATTTACCCTCTTTCGAGTGCATAAAGAATATTAGCTAATCTAAAGTAAGTTTCTGATTGTATGGTAGTGCTGAGTAGATTCTAGTCTCACTCTTAGATTACACAGTATGTCCTCTCTATAGGACCTACCAGGGACTCATGTTCCAACTCTAGACCAAATTGGTAAAGAAACTAGCCTGTCACCTTAGAAACACCAATTTTATGCCCATCAAAACATGTCTTCCTATCTATTTGCACTCTCCTTAGATTTTGGTCGCACTTATTGTAAGGTTAGTGTGATACTCACTAGTTGGGTGAAATCATAGTCCTCCCGGGTCATTATGCTTCGTAACGGGCTTTAACATTACAATTGGCCAGTTTGCAAAGTAAATGAAGAACCGGTGAAAATACCATAACTATTTTAGGAATAAAAGATGTTCTAAACAAATCAATTCCTCCAAATGATTACTTGTTGCAAGGAGAAAGAAAAGAAAAACTACTCATAATTTATGAGATAACAAAACAAAACATGATTTATATTAAAACTCAAGTTCACAACACAAAACTTAAACAAAAGTATAAATACCTATCTCAAACTCTTCCCCAAGCAATCCTCTGAAGTTCTCTGACTTCCTTGACTTCAATAAACTCTTACATGACTCACAAAACTCCAGCAATCACAAAGACTTACCACTCTCAATTCTCCCCCCAAAATATTACTACACATTGAGGAGGAGGCAAGTGCAAAAAATTCGACCAATAAAATATGTTAAACATACCGATAACCAGTGCTCATATATCTATCTAAAGAAAATAAACAAAAAAAATTGTAATAAACTGATAAGCATCATTCATATATATTTCATCCAATTGCATCTACTGATTGTTCAGACATGTAAAAATATTGCTAACTTATCTATCATGCAAATTTCAAATATGCAGCAAAGCATATGCAATTTTATTTATAAAATTATCAGTAGAAGAAAACTAAAAAAAGGGAGTGCTCGATAATCTTTACCCTAAAATGTTACTCCAAAGTTAGGATATTTAAAATAATAAACCTTTAAAAAACAAATGAACAAATCTCATATGTTTTCTATTCCATAGCTTCTACTGTTTGATGAGGATTATTATAGATGTTGCCAATTAATTTATCTTGCAAACTTCAACTTTGCATCAAAGCATTTGCAATACCAGGGGAAAAAAAAACAAATTAGTGCTCATAAATCTCCCCACAAAATGTTTATCTGCGCATATGCATAGGAAAAAGCAAGCTAATCAACCATCAAACATCAATGTGTACATATGTAGATTAAGAATATAAAAAATTTCACATAAGAAACAAGAAACACAAGGAGGAAGCTAATGAACAAAAAAAAAAAAAAAAAAAAAATCCATAGAGAAGAAAACTTCACTGTAATGTTGCAGCAAGTCGTCTGCCCCGAGCAGAGGGAGGGGGAGCAAAACCAGGTTTCAGCTCTAACGATACGAGTAACAAAGGGGGGCGGAGGCCAGGGGGTATATGCGAGGATAGGGATTGGGATTACTGGAAATTCGAAGGGCCAGGGATGTCAAAGGCACCTCGCAACGGAGCTCCAACCATAGAACGCCATCTCCCGCTTCCGTTTTAGCGTTCGACTTGTTGAGGCCCCTAACCAGCGGAACACTCAAATTAAAGGCCCCAAACGCGCCCTATGTTGGATGTGTTGTTTGGGTGATGGCAATGTCATATCTGTTGACAAAATTCAAATGTTGAGAGTAAAACATTTCCCTTCAAAAAGTGAACTGAACTTTAAAACTTTAATGCGTTGAATAAATTTGGTAGGAATATAAAATAACTTCTACTCCGTAATTTTTATTTGTTATTTGGTTCCAATTTAATTCATAGTTGATTGGATTTAAATAAGAATTTTTAACAAACGTCTCTTGCCACTAACAAATCTCTATCCAATCCTACTAAAAATTTTGAAGAAAATCTTACGGGCTCATTGATGTTCAACCACATGGCTCGTCAACTAAAAATAAGATCTTGATATGTCCGTCATTGACCAAATAAAATAAAAACTAATTTTGTACTCAGTTTCTCCTCAACCAAACAAGTTTGTGAAAAGCAATTTCGGTTTAATTTATTTCTCATTTTCTTTTACTCTATTTTAGTTCCTTTGAACCAAACAATATCTAATGTTAAAGCATAAAACAAAGCAAGAGAGAAGTAAAAAAATGGCTCATTGATCCGTACCAGCAGGGATATGAAGAGGTGAAAATGGCGTCCTAAGACTCTAAACCGTTATTGGAGGCAGATTAAATGGCGTAAAAGAGATAGGGAGGGGCTGTTGCTGTAGGATTTCAAGACAGGAGAAAAAAGTGAGGCAACCATCTGTCCTTAATTTTCCTGTTAAGTGTGCCCGCTTGAGACTTAGCTATTGGCATTACTATTGCATCACTTCATGAGTTTCTAATTCAGTTCTCTTGTGGAGTCGTTAATATGTTTTGCATGCTATGGCAATCCATTCAACACTGGGCTCCAAGTCATACCTTGTTACTATTATACTTGCGAAATTGTTTAAGAATGCGAGTGAGAAGTTAATTATTTTATCTTATTTTTTTTAAGCTTTTCTGTTTACCACCTCTTTCCTGTTATATTAAAATGGCTCTTTATGTTAGTTGATATTTTGTGCTTTATTTGGTCTATTTCCCTGTCTTATAATACTTCTGTATACAGGGTGAATTTGATGATACAGAGGGTGTATGGATTGGTGCCCTGCTTTTAGCTATTTCATTTCAGGAGGAAAAGGTTATTCAGTCACCAACAATCAATAGAATAATACCTTCACTATCTTTCTTGTTGATGTCGGATGAAATTAATGAAAAATATTTTGCTGCTCAAGCAATTGCTAGTCTTGTTTCTACTAGCAGAAAAGCCATACATCTTGCTATTGCAAATGCAGGTTCTGTTGGGGGATTGCTCAGCTTAGTTGGTCATGTAGAATCAGAAATGCCGCACCTTGTTGCTTTGTCTGAAGAGTTTAATCTTGTGAGAAACCCTGACAACATTGCACTGCAGCATTTGTTTGAGATAGAAGATATTAGGACTGGTGGCATTGCTCGTAAGTCAATACCTCTGTTGGTGGACCTTCTTAGACCACTGCCTGATAGGCCAAGGGCAGCTCCAATTGCTATCAATCTTTTGACCCAATTAGCAGAAGCAAATGATGCAAACAAATTGTTTATAGCTGAAGCTGGGGCTCTGGAAGCATTGACCAAGTATTTGTCTTTAAGCCCACAGGACTCCACTGAAATTTTTATAGTTGATCTTCTTGGTATCTTATACAGCAATCCGGACATACTTCAACATGATGTTTCTCTTGGCTCGTTGAGTCAGCTTATAGCTGTTTTACGGTTAGGGTCTAGAAGGGCTAGATTTAGTGCTGCAAGAGCTTTGCATGTGCTTTTTGGATCAGAGGATGTCAGAGATACTGAAATGGTCCGGCAAGCTATTCAACCATTGGTAGACATGCTTAATGCAGGATCTGAGATGGATCAGGAGGCAGCCCTTGTTGCACTGATCAAACTCACTGCTGGAAACATTGCGAATGCTTCAGCTTTGACCGATGTTGAAGAATCTCCACTTGAAAGTCTCTATAAGATTTTAGCATCCAGTTCATCTTTGAAACTGAAGACAAATGCTGCACAACTTTGCTATGTTATATTTGGAAGCTCAACCGTTAGTGATATGTTAATTGCTTCACAATGTTTACAACCCTTGATGTCACTAATGAGTTCAAGCAATGATGAAGCAATGGAGTCTGGTGTGCGTGCTTTCGAAAGGCTGCTGGATGATGAACAACTAGCAGACATTGCAGCCGAAAGTAATGTTGTATCACTCTTGGTTCAATTTGTTTCAGGGTCAAACCATAAACTTTCTGAGATCACTATCAATGCTTTGATAAAGTTAGGAAAGGATCGGCCTCACTGCAAACTTGAAATGGTGAATGCTGGAATTGTTGATAATGCACTTAAAATCCTCCTTGATGCGCCAGGTTCTTTATGCTCTTTGATTTCTGAGCTGCTCCGGATTTTAACCAACAATAGTGGCATTGCTAAAAGTGCCGATGCTGCAAGAATGGTAGAGCCCCTCTTTTCAGTTTTGCATCGTACGGACATTACTTTATGGGGACAGCATAGCACCTTGCAATCTCTTGTGAATATATTGGAGAAACCACAGAGCCTAGCTATCCTGAAATCAACTCCGAGCCAAGTTATTGAGCCTTTGATATCATTCCTAGAGTCCCCATCCCAAGCCATTCAACAGCTTGGCACTGAGTTATTGTCTCATCTTTTGGAGCAGGAACATTTCCAGCAAGACATTACTACCAAAAATGCAGTTATTCCTCTTGTTCAGCTTGCTGGCATTGGAATATTGAGTCTGCAGCAAACAGCAATAAAATCACTTGAGAGTATCTCCTTGAGTTGGCCTAAGGCTGTTGCCGATGCAGGGGGCATGTTTGAGCTTTCCAAGGTAATTGTTCAGGATGATCCTCTGCCAACTCAGGCACTGTGGGAATCTGCAGCATTGGTGCTGTCAAATATTCTTAAATCAAATCCAGAATATCATTTCAAAGTCCCACCAGTAGTGCTTGTGAAATTGCTTCACTCCACAGTGGAGAGCACAGTAGCAATAGCTCTGGGTGCTCTTATTGTTCAGGAGAAGCGTGATCCTTCATCTAGTGCAATGATGGCTGAGGCAGGTGCTGTAGATGCTCTCTTAGAGCTGCTAAGATGTCATCAGTGTGAAGAAGCTTCTGCAAGATTAATTGAAGCCTTATTCAATAATCCAAGAGTGCGAGAAAAGAAAACTTCCAAATATGCAATAGCTCCTCTATCTCAATATCTGTTAGATCCACAAACCAGGTCTCAACCAGCAAAATTTTTAGCAACCCTTGCGCTTGGTGATCTTTTTCAGCATGATGGACTTGCAAGAACCAGTGATGCTGTATCTGCATGCCGTGCTCTAATAAGCCTGCTTGAAGACCAACCGACTGAGGAGATGAAAATGGTGGCATTATGTGCATTGCAAAACTTAGTTATGCATAGCAGGACAAATAGGCGTGCAGTTGCGGAGGCTGGTGGAATTTTGGCACTTCAGGAACTACTACTGTCACAAAATGCTGAAGTCTGTGCGCAGGCTGCCTTGCTGATTAAATATTTATTTTCAAATCACACACTTCAAGAATATGTGTCAAATGAGCTCATCAGGTCTTTAACAGGTGAATTATTTGTACAATAGTTTGTAGTTCACTTGTAGAGATGTCAGTTAAAGTAACTATGCGAGTAGAAAGGTGAAGTAGAAAAGTTGGCACATGAGCTGCGCAAAAGGAAAACAATAGTTGACACCTCGTGGCATTCTACATGACTTAATAAAGAATGAGGCTTCAGAAAGCTGACTGCTAATAATTGATCTTAAGTTTAATGATGACAAGGATAATGATATATGTTGTATTTTGATCTGTCTAGGGGTGATGATTAGATCTTACCAATTGATAGAAAATGAGAAAGACATTAAAAAAAATGACGAAATGAATAAATTTGAATAAATTCACTAATACAAGGCTCTAGCTCTTGCAAGGACATGGCAAATGAGGGAAAGGAGTATAAAAGACTGAAACCTTGACTTTCCACGTGATCCACTATTTATGGGTTAGTATTTGGGGTCTCGAGTGCTATAGGAATATCTACATAGTAGGCAAAACATAGGTGAAAAATACAAAAAAAAAAAAAATACTAGGGCTAGTTTCTTTGATGTAAATATGGACCGAGTGTCCAAGTTTCTGTCAAAGTTACAGAATCACTTGTTAGATTAGGATGCATTTACGACTATACAAGCCTGTTTGGCCTGGTCAGCTTATGAAGATCGGTTTGGGCGAGGATGAGGTCGTCCAGGAACACGAATTGATGCTTCTTTTGGATGGTAGTGTGCATCCGCTTCATTGCTTGACAGTTAGTAGCCCTCCAATGTGAAGCAATACTTGATGCATAGTTTTTTTTGAAAAGTTGACTTGATTACTTAATATCATATTATTTAGATTTATATATATTTTTCATGTGTTATTGCAGTTGATCATAGGCGTATTCTTGATTCTAAACAACCTTGAGGTTTTAACATTCCTACGAGAGGAGATATTGATAAGGGCAATTTCTTAGATGAGGGAGAGTGTCGAGAGTGAGGTAGTCAGCCTTCAGAGGTGAGCCCCTCTCCCTCTATGGAAGAGCAACGGGACAAATACTTAAGAGGAGCAGGAGGCTCGTAAAGGTATAGGGCTAGATGTGGAGCCCGATGAGGCTAGGGATCTGATTAACGGTCTAGTCTTAGGAAGCGAGCCCCTTCTACAATCATAGCGCTAAACACTCGCAGGGGCGAGAATAAATACAGAGAGGTTGAGAGATAGGTTCGCCCCTTCTTGGTTTGTCTTATTCATTAATCATATGAGGTCCATCCAACGATTTGCCTGTTACAGAGTTTGTTGAGGTGCTGCATCAGCTTTCTTTAGGACTAGGTCATATACTCTGAAACTTTTCACCTTAACATGGGCATCGTTGTAAGTTGATTGTATTCTTACTTATTTGAGGAGCTTTGAGCACATCTTTCATCCGCTCATTGTATCTTTGACATTCTCCAAATTCTCACTTGTTATACATATAGTGGTTGAGATCTTTTGGTTGTGTTTGATTGATAAGAGTGCCTTTATCTTGTGTGATAGAAAGAACGGTGTTTGTCTCATAGCCTTTGATGAAGTTTTTCTAAGAACCCACAATGCAGATGACAAGTCGCCGACCTATTGTCTCCAGACACCTTCAGTCTTACATAAAAAGAATCCATATATTTGCTGCTTCAAAAAGTGCATTCATTTTGGAATGATGTATGCCAAATATCTTTTTTATATAGGGCTACTATGAATCTTCTCTATAGGTTAAGTTTTTATTTTAAAATTAAGTCAAATTCCTAGTGTGCACCACTCTATCTCCTTGACACAATTTTCCATTTGGGCAGTACTTAGGCGTCGAGCTTTTGATTTTTCTTGTCTAATTCTAATGACAAGGAGTCTGGTTCTAGTGTATTGGGCACCGAGCTCTCTATCTAAATTGCTAGATTTCACACTTGCATCTGGATTAGGTGCCTAGGCACTGAGTGTTCTATTTTGGGCATCTTGTTTTGGCCTGGGCACTAACCTAGTGCCGAACCTTAAGTTCGCTCCTAATTGTTTCGGTTTCACTCTTAATTACCTACTTCAAGGGTTGATTTGTTACGACCCAGGTAGAATTGACTAAGAAATAAGGATGAGTTAATTTGGCTATAATGATAAGTGTGATGACTTCTTTTCCTATGATATGGTAATTTAGTTTAGCCTTGCAAATTGCCTTTCTTACATAATAGATGGGCCATTGCTTCTTCCCCTTTTTTTGAATTATTGAATTTACTATCTCTTCTCTAACTCCCGAGTATAATAGTAAATTTTTGCCTGGTTGCGGGCTTGTAGCATCGGCGGCAAGGTTAGTAGTGATTTCATATCTTGGAAGGCCTTTTTATTTTTGGCACTCTATAAGATTCTAAAGTATGGTGAACATCTTTAACTTGACTTTGATATAAACCTAGTCCAACTAATTGTCCATTAATTCAATTCCTTGGTGTTTATTAGAGCTAGCATCTTCATAATGGCTTCTGCCTTAGTTAATTTTACTTTTATTCCATTAGGAGCTAATGAAAATCTCAAACCATACCAAATTCGACTTATAGGTGCACTTTAGTGGGGCTTATGTTGAATTTCTTAAGGGTAATGAATGTTTCAATAAAATCATCAATATGCCGTTTTGGACCTCTACTTTAAATATTAAGTTGTCTAATTAAAACTCGTATGTTCCTCCCATTTTGTTATGTAAATATGAGATCCATGGCTCTCTAATAAGTCACTCTGACATTCTTTAGACTCAATGATATGATATTAAGGTAGTGCAATCAACACTTATGGTAAAAGCCCTTTTTTTTCAACATCTAGGAGATGCATCTGGTTTGATTATTGTTTGAGTAAGCATCCAAAAAGCTCATAATAGAATTGCTGACTGCATAATTGACTAGGGCTTCTATTTGTAATAATGTATAGCTATCCTCATTGGGTTAAACTCAAATTTATAAAATCGTCGAACATCCCTTTTCATTTATCTCAGGCACCAGTATCACAATATATTACACTTTTCTAATAAAATTTGCTTAGAGTAATTTCTACCTGCGTTGAGATTTCTAACATCCTAATTTAAAGGTTTCTAGATCGTGACGGTTGGTGAGGCTGGTAGATAGGTTGATAGACATGTGCCTCTAATTTGGGATATTTGGGGCATAAATTCTCTTCCGGGATCAGCTTCTGCCACTTTGCTAGATTATGTCGTTTGTGTGACCTGTTGGGGTTCTCATTTTGCTATTGTTTTCCTTTGCGTTAACATGTGCATTAGCCGGATCCAACAATTTGGCCGAGTTGCTCAACCTTCGCAGACTGAGTGTGTAGTGAGAAGCACTTTGTGGAGGCTTTGCGTTAAGGAGGCTTGAGCCACCATTGGTTCTAGGTCTTTAATCTCCAACACCTTCTTTTGGAACCTGGTTACTTATGGACTTGATAGTCTTCTAGTGCATCCTTAGAAATGCTAATGAGCCCTTATGTGGCTATTGAGTAATGCTAGTTTGAGTGATGAATATTCTTCCGAAATCTGCAAACATAATCATTCCCAAAGGTTGGCAGGAAAATCACCTAAGCACTAACTTTTAAATGTCAGAAAATTCGGCACTTTAGTGCGCTGTTTATTTCAGCGAGGGAGGTAGCTAACTCGAAATATGCTACATGGTTGGTTAGGTTAGTCGATCTTGGTACGATTTAAGATTGAGAATTTTGAATCTAAGAGGCTTGATTTCAACATTTTTTTTTTGTTAAAAAGCATTTGTCTATTGCATTCTTCTATGGACCCGTCCCTCAATTCACTTGAGCTCAGGGAATGACTCTCCTTCCTCGGTCTCTGGGTAATAACTCCCATATAGTAATTGCAAGGTTCTTCCCTTTGAACATCTCCTGGTCATTGAGTTTGTTGATTTTACTGGCAATGCCACCTATGGAGTCATCCTTAGAAGCTATTCGATGACACCCTGAATCATTCTCCCTCACTGTTCTGCCAATCTTTTTTCAATATAGTTTTCATTTATGTAATCTGCTAATTCATTACAAGGTTTTGATTATTCTTTCTTATTGAATCTTCTACTAGATGGTTCTCTTGGGATGGGTCTTTATTATGCTCTTCAATAGATTTCTGAATGTTCTTATGATTTTAGGCCATATGTCTAAGCTCACCGCACCTCAAAGGATGTTAGCTCTCGATTTGTTTGTGAATGATGCTCAAATCTTTTCGATTTGAAATGAGTTAGGCTAGTAAAAAAAAAATTGATAGAGTAAGTCCTCTAATACGAGGGCTCCAAATACCACAAAGATATAACAAATGATAGAAAGGAGTATAAAAGATCGAACCGTTCATTATCCTTGAGATCCATTAGTTTTTGTTCAGGATCCAGCGTCTTGAGCACTAAAGGAAAAACTAATAACCAACACGTGTGAAAGAACAAAAAAAACTGCATAATAACCAACACCTGTGAAAATAACAAAAAATTAGACGCTAGTTGTCTTGATGCAAACTAAGACTAGGTGTCAGATTTACTGAAGAAGCCATAGAATCTCTCATTAGATTAGGATGCATCTATGATTATGGTCAGTCTGCTTGCCCTAGTCGCTTTATGAAAATTGGTTTGGGTGAGGATGATGTTGGCTTAGAGCTTTAGTTGATGCTTCCTTTGGATCAGTGTGTGTATCCGCGTTGTTGCTGACGGGCAGAAGCCTAATTGCCTGCTAGGCAAGCCCATATTTTAGACCGAACTAGCAAGATGCCTCCATCAAACTCGGTGAGAGTCCATTATGAGTTCTGTTGGGTGATGTAGGGCTGAATCCAGTCTAAAGACTTTGTACCCTTTGTCACTGATACCGGGCAGATTTACCCTAAGGGGGTACAATATACAATTCGACCATTTCTAAAATGTGCTTTGATCTGAAGATATTTATACGACCATAAGTTGTCTGTCTCATAAAATTGAAACAAACTAGGTTGATAATTTTGCCAATATAATTGGGCTAATGCTGACTCTAACATATGGTTCTTAATTTGTAATGAATATTGAAGAATGCTCCATAAATTGGACTAGTTATTGGAAACAGTAGTATCATTTTTCTGTTCATTCTTTTTTTAAAAATTCAACCATCCACTAGTTCCAACAATTTACAGTCCTGACTTTCTATTTGCATTGCTCTTTATGCAGCTGCATTGGAGAACGAGTTGTGGTCCAATGCTACTACAAATGAAGAAGTTCTAAGAACTATATATGTGATATTCTCAAACTTCAAAAAGCTAAGAACATCTGAAGCAGCTCTGTGCATTCCCCAATTGGTAGGTGCATTGAAGACTGGAAGTGAGCCCGCTCAGGATTCAGTGCTCGACACACTTTGCTTGTTAAAAGATTCATGGTCTGAGATGAATGAAGATATTGCAAAAGCACAGGCTCTAATTGCTGCCGAAGCAATACCCATACTGCAATTGCTCATGAAGACTTGCCCTCCCAGCTTTCATGAAAGAGCGGACAGTTTACTCCACTGCTTGCCTGGATGCTTGACAGTGACTATTAAGCGAGGGAACAACTTGAAGCAGACGATGGGAAGTACGAATGCATTTTGTCGCTTAAAGATCGGAAATGGCCCTCCAAGGCAAACTAAGGTATGGCATAATTTGGAAAAGTTTTAATTCCTATCATTCTCATAACTGCTTTTATTTCCCTGTTTATTCCCTTATGTCAGGTGGTAAGCCATAATACATGCCCGGAATGGAAGGAAGGCTTTACTTGGGCTTTTGATGTCCCCCCAAAAGGACAAAAGCTTTACATTCTATGTAAAAGCAAAAATACTTTTGGAAAGGTACAAATAAAAGAAGAAAAAAGATTGTAATCCTTTTTTTCTATTTGTTGGGACTCATTTTACTTGTTTAATTACAGACTACTCTTGGAAGAGTAACCATCCAGATTGACAAAGTAGTAACAGAGGGACTGTATAGTGGGCTCTTCAGTCTAAGCCATGACAACAACAAAGATTTGTCAAGAACACTTGAAATTGATATTCTCTGGTCAAATAGGATATCTGGTGATGAAGTGTGATTCCTGAAAGTGCTACCGTTGGATTTTATTAACCGGACCGTAGCGTAATGGCAGAAATATCTTTCTGTAAATATTTGAAAGATTTCATGGCTTGCCTAAGGTGTAATAGCCTATGGAGCAAAGCTCAGCATTCTGCAGTGACTGGTGCCGCCACTGAACCATATGCTACTGAGGTTAGATCCAGATGTAGATAATGATTTCGTCAATTCTACTTGATGCTCTTTAGGTTTGTACAGATTAGTTTGTATTTGTCTCTGCTATGATTTTATGATGGTTAGGAATGCCATTAGAGATTTGTTGTTTATTGGTGCTGCTTTCCTTAAATGATACAAGGCGAGCACCATGGTCTCTCTGTATTCGTGCTTGCAGGGGTAGGTTGTGCGAGAGGTTGCTCTTCATGAGATAACCCAATTGACAGATATCGTGCAGATAACAATTCTGTGATTTGCAGTAATCTAACCCACCCCAGATTTTCTATCTGGATGATTGTTTTGACGATTTAAAGATACTTGTCTCTTGTTTAGCAGCTTTATTATTATCTTTATGTTTAAATATCATCTTTCAATGTGCAAACTTTTTTTTCAAATTTTTTTTCTTACATCTTATCACTCATATCTTTCATATCACATAAAAATTGCCAAAATTAAGTAGTGGTATAAATGCAAAATTAAAATTTAGTTGTCAGATATGTTAAGATAGAGGAATATGGTAAATCTTCCTTTACTTTTTATATCTCCCAGATTAATATAATAATGTAAAAAATGAGTTATTTTGAATGTAGAACTGTTTAGAAGGCAGTAGTGGAATTTGGGCGTGCCCAATGTTTGTCCATATTTTGCCCGTTTCTATTTTCTTTGGCTCGAAATAAGCTTGTGCCCGAAATATTTGCATTTGGCTCAAAATGAGCTTGAATCAGTTTAGAGTTCGGCTCATAAGCTCGGAAGTCGGCTCGAACTTAGTTTGAGTCGGGCTCGTAAGCTTGAAAGGGAGAGAAAATATTCTCCTAAAGGCTGGTTTCACAGTCACGAGTAACATTTGAGCTTCATTTATGCATTTAAACAGTAATGAAAAAATGCTATCCACATGTATGAGACCAGAACCCATGTGTGGGCGGGTTTTTTCTTTTCATAAAGTTTATGCTGGCAGTTACATGCATGCCACCATTTCTTATGTAATGACGTATCAAACTCTTAAATACTACATAGCATCTAATTCTTTTGTATTTACATATTTAACCTCTAAATTTTAATTTTTATATTTATAAAAATAAACTTTTTGATATTATGTAAAAAATACCACTATTTTAAATT